CATAATCTATGGGGATTTGCAAATGATATGTATTCTGCTATTGTTGGGTGGAGTGTCCTACAGATGTTGATTAGATTATGTTGGTTGGTGGTGATATTGGTTTCTTCTTTATCTTTGCTAGTTCTAGCCGTTGTTGAGAGAATAGTGTTGAAGTATCTAACTATAATTATGTATTTATTTATCCTTTCAGTTCTATCAGGTTTTTATGGTGACATCAATAGACTGTTTTAGAACAGTTTTAGACTTTTTAAAAAAAGATTTTATTTGTTTATTCATGATAGACACAGAGAAAGAGAGAGAGAGAGAGAGAGAGAGAGAGAGAGAGAGGCAGAGACACAAGCAGAGGGAGAAGCAGGCTCCATGCAGGGAGCCCGACGTAGGACTCATTCCGAGGTTTCGAGGATCAGGCCCTGGGCTGGAGGCGGCGCTAAACCGCTGGGCCACCCAGGGATCCCAAACAGTTTTAGACTTAAGAAAAAATAAATATATAGAGTCCCCTGCCTCCAACTATTTTCCCTGTTATAAGCATCTTACATTAATATCATATGTTTGTTATGAACAACAATGAACCAATGATGGTGCGTTATTATTAACAAGAGTCTATAGTTTATTCAGATTTCTTTAGTTTTTACCTAATGTCCTTTTTCTGTTCCAGAATTCCACCCAGGATGTGACATTACATTTAGTTGTCATATTTGCCTAGGCTCCTCTCGGTTGTGATATTTTTGCAGACTTGTTTTTGACGATCTTATCAGTATTGAGGAGTGTAGTCAGGTATATTGTAGGATGCTCCTCTACTAGAATTTGTGTGATGTTTTTCTACATCACTAGACTGAGGTCATAGGTTTCAGGGAGGAAAACCACAGGAATCATGTACCATTCCATCTCATTGTATCAGTGGTATACATTATCAACATGACTTATGACTGTTGGTGTTGACCTTGCTCCCTTGACAGAGGTTGTGTTTGTCAGGTTTCTGCACTGTAAAGTGATTCTTTCCCCCCCCTCCATGCTCTCCTCTTTGGAAGGAAGTCCTTATGGACAGCTACAAGTAAGGAGTTGTGCTCCTTTTCTTTAGAGTATCATCCTTAATCTATTTGGAATTCTTCTGCACAGGAGAATTCTTTCCTCTCTCCCTTAGCCCTTTATTAATTTATTCAATCATTTATATGTATCAAAATGGACTCATGGGTATTGATTTTACACTTTTGATTATCCAATACTACTTAATTTTGTTATTAAATTGTCCCAGCTTTGACCATTGGCTCTTTTAGTTGGCTCCTATGTCCCTTTGACATACCCTCATCAATGTGTGTGTGTGTGTGTGTGTGTGTGTGCGCGCACGCGCGCATGTGTATATTTCTTTTTTTTTTAACTCAAGATTTTTTAAAAAAATATTTTATTTATTTATTCATTAGAGACAGAGAGAGAGTCAGAGATATAGGCTCAGGGAGAACCAGGCTCCCTGGAGGGAGCTTGATGTGGGTCTCGATCCCAGGACCCTGAGATCACAACCTGAGCCAAAGGCAGATGCTCAACCACTGAGCCACCCAGGTGTCCCAGTGTGTTTCTTTTTTGAACACTTTTTTACTTTCTGGCACTACAAGATATTGCAGGCTCATCTCGTATATATCCTGCTCCAGTCATAGAAACAGCCACTTCTTTATGGAACCCTAGCTCTTTGGTGTTAGAAACCAAGATTTGGGCATTAGGTGTACTTGTTGCTGTGGAGATGTCCCTTCCAGGCTCTCTCAGCAGACAGAGCTATGTGTCTACAAATCGTGTGTATGTAAATATCTATGAATATTTTTATATGTAACTATCTGTATCTATATTAAGTGTGTATTCTTACTGATATCTTTATCACCACATGGATCATTTTAGGCTCCTTTCATCCCCTTCATTCCTGAAGGGTATTTTTATTAGATGTAAAATTCTTTTATTTTATTTTATTTTATTTATTCATTCATGAGAGACACAGAGACAGACACATAGGCAGAGGGAGAAGCAGACTCTCTGCAGGGAGCCTGATGTGGTACCAGATCCCCAGACCTGGGATCACGCTCTGAGCCGAAGGCAGATGCTCAACCACGGAGCCACTCAGGCATCCCTGGATGTAGAATTCTGATTGGCAGCTCTTTTATTTCAGCATTTAAATGCTGTGCTTTTCTTCTGGCCTCTGCACAATCTGCTGTCTTCAGAATTGTGTTTCTCTCTTGTTCCTCTCAAGATTGTCTCTCAAGTTGTCAAAGCTTTCAGACCCAGCATCCGGGTAATTCCCTTTAATGAAGATTTCTGGTGATTTTACTGTCTTATCTATGACTCCCTGCCCTTTCTAGTAAATTTCTGTCTTCTGAATTCCCAAAGCACTTTGGTTTGCTTCTTTACTGCCATCATTACACTTGTCTTATTTGCTAATAATGTGACCATGTGTCTTCACAGAGATTGCATCTTTGTATCCCCATAGCATCCAAGTATTTAATAAGGATGCAAAAAAAGTTTATTAAGTGGATGAAAGTAACAATATAATTGGTGTAAGATCCTCAGGTTTTAAAAAATTAATTTAAAAATATTCTCCTAAAAGTAAAGGAACTTTACAGGTAAAACTAGAGTTTCCTGTGATCGTTTCCTTAATTCTGACCCCTTAAGAATTTGGTGTTTGTTAAAAAAAAAAAAAAAAAAAAAAGAAGAAGAAGAGGAAGAATTTGGTGTTTGTCCTATCAAAATATATTCCTACAGGGGATCCCTGGGTGGCTCAGCGGTTTAGCGCCTGCCTTTGGCCCAGGACGCGATCCTGGAGTCCTGGGATCGGGTCCCGTGTCGGGCTCCCGGCATGGAGCCTGCTTCTCCCTCTGCCTGTGTCTCTGCCTCTCTCTCTCTCTATGTCTATCATGAATAAATAAATAAAATCTTAAAAAAAAAAAACAAAATATAGTTCTACATCCACAATATGTGAATGTAAATTATATAGTATTTTGTATGTACATATATTTTTAAATAAATGGAATTGCAATTGCCCTATACACATTCTCTTTTAATTTGCTTTTTGTTCATACAACAAAAGAACTCTCTGTGTAAATTATAGGTCTCGTGTATTCCTTTTAACTGGTAGATAGCAGTTCATTGTATGACCACACTTCATTTAAGTATCCACTTTGCCGAGGAAGAACATTTTGGTGATTCTAATTGTTCATTATTTTTTTTAAAGATTTTATTTATTTATTCATAGAGACACACATAGAGAGAGAGGCAGAGACACAGGCAGAGGGAGAAGCAGGCTCCATGTAGAGAGCCCGGCGTGGGACTCTATCCCGCGTCTCCAGGATCATGCCCTGGGCTGCAGGCGGCGCTAAACCGCGGCGCCACCGGGGCTGCCCCCTAATTGTTCATTATTATAAACAATGCTATGACGAACATAGACAATGCCTCTGTGTGCACATGTGTAAAGGTCCCTGGATCACGGGGCATAGCATTTTCAGTTTTGGAAGATACTGCCAAATTATCCTGAAAGGAGATCTACCAAATTTACACTCCCACAAACAGAATATGAGAATACTTGTATCTATGCAATTTTGCCATCGTTCTGTGTAGTGAAAAAAAATTTTTGTCACCAGGTATGTAAAATCAGGTGTCCCATTTTTGTTTTAATTGCATTTCCCAACTACTGATATTTTTTCCTACGATTATTAGACATTTCAGGTCTTTTTTCCCCTGTGGGTTGTCTGTCCTAAACCTTAGCCCACATTTGTGGTATTGTCTTTTTCTTAGTGATTTGTATGAATTTAAAAAATTATATTAAGGATAACAGTCTTTTTGTTCATGATATGAATTGCAAATATTTCCTTCAGACAGCTGCATTGTTTATGAGGTCTTTTCACATGTAGAAGCTTTATGTTAAAAAATGAACAAACATTGATACTCTGTTTTGTCTTGTTTTTAGAGAGACAGAGTACAAGTGGGGAGGCAGTAGGGCAGAGGAACAGGCTTCATGCTCAGCACAGAGCCTTATGCAGGGCTCGATCCCATGACCAAGAGCTGAAACCAAGAGTTAGATGCTTAACCAACTGAGCCACCCAGATGCCCCATCAATTTTGTGCTTTTTATAACCTATTTAATATCCATTTCTACCCCAACCCATAAAGCTAATATTCTATGTTTTTTAAAATAATCCTTAAACTTTTATTTTATATATTTAGATCTTCAGTGGACTTGTGGTATGAGGCAGGGATCTGTACTTATGCTTATTTCTCATTGTCGGCTGGTTATCCCAATATTACCTGTTGCGTGATCCACCCTTTCCCCACTCATTTGAAATGTTATCAAATAATTATTGCTGGGGAATAGAAGAGCTATTTGTTTTTGAATATTGGTTAATCCTTGACTAAATTATAAACTCTTTTATTAGTTTTAATTATTTATCAGTTACTTTTCTTGGGTTTTCTGGCTAGAAGATCATTTTATTTGCAAAGGTTGATAGTCCTGTTTCTTTACTGTCAACAATGTACCTGTTGTGTCTTTTTCTCTTTTCTTATTGCATTAGTATAGCTACTGGTACAGTGTTGAGTAAAGGAGTGATAGGAGGATCATAGCCTTGTTTCTGACTTTCATGGATGGGAATGATTCTGAAGTTCCTAATAAGTATGCTGTTTGCTTTTGGTTTCTGGTGGGTAACGTTTATCAGGTTAAAGAAATTCCCTTATATATTAAGTTCACAACTGTTTTATTATGAATGAATATTGAATTTTATCAAATGCCTTTTCTGTATCTATTGAGATTATCATAGGGCTTTTCTCCTTTTATCTGTTAATGTGTTAATTACATTTATATTTCTAATATTTTCTTTGTGTTTTGGGGACAGTCTTTGTTGTATTAGTCAGCCTAAGCTAAATTCTGCTCTGGTAACAAACAATCCCTAAATTTTAGAGAATTACAATAGAAATTTATTTACTGCTCATGCCATATGAGCACTAAGGATTAATTTCATGTCTTCTTAATTCTAGGACCCACGTTGATGGAGCATCTCATGGTAGATGGAAAAGAGAGATACTGGAACATCTTAACATTTCTACTCAGGAGGGGCATATGTTACTTCTATTCACATTTCATTGGTCAAAGCCAGTCAGTGGCTGAGCTTGATGTCAGTGAATAGGCATATAATCCTCCTGCAGAAAAGTACCCAGCAAGTTGGGGCAACAAATGTTTTCATAATTATAATACAATCTATCACACAAGTCATGGCATATTATTATTTTAATATGTTGCTGGATTTAATGTGCAAACATTTATTTAGGCTTTTGTATCTATGTTCATGAGTGACCTAAGATTTTTTGTCTTGGGCTTTCCAGGGCTTTTTTTCTTCCCCTCTTAGGCTTTTAAGATAATTTGGGTGGATTTACATCTTTTTACTGTGTACATTGGGAAAGTATGTATAGAATGTTAATTATCTGTTTCCTGGAGACTTAAAGAACTTGCTTACAAAACTGGTTGTACTTGGTTATTTTGGAAGTAGAACTTTGATGTTTTAATTTCTTTTATGGTTAACTTTGTTAACATTTTCTACTTCTGGGGGGGAGATGCAATTTTGGCAATTTATATTTTCTTAGGAAATTGGCATTTCCGTGATGGTTTAAACATTTACTGCTTCAAAATGGTCCACAGTATTCTGTGTGAAATTAGTCATACCCTCCTTTTGTTTCAGGTATATTCTTTTTCATTGTGTTTATGGTGACTGGGCTTTTTCAAAGCATACTGTTTTATTTTTTATTTTTTTCAAAGGGTACTGTTTTATTTATTTTTTTTTTATTTTTTTAATTTTTATTTATTTATGATAGTCACACACAGAGAGAGAGGCAGAGACACAGGCAGAGGGAGAAGCAGGCTCCATGCACCGGAAGCCCGACGTGGGATTCGATCCCGGATCTCCAGGATCGCGCCCTGGGCCAAAGGCAGGCGCTAAACCACTGCGCCACCCAGGGATCCCAAAGGGTACTGTTTTAAAAGAAGAGTTCGTTCATGCTTGGTAATTTCTGCCTCTTGCCTTGATGCCTGAATGATACCCTACTTAGTTTAGAAAATCAGTTTCTCTTTATAACTCTCTCTGCTCTTCAAAGCATATGTGCAATAGGGTATCATTTTCTTCTCACAAAAAATGTGAGCTGTGTCTTTTCCTTGACAGACAAGGAAACCTAGAGCTTGGGATGATGGGGTCCTTGTTCAAGGCCGGAGGAGTGGGTGTTCCAGTCTGGACCAGTGTTTGTTCTAGCTTAGGGTAAGGACTAGATTGGTGTTGTCACTTGTAAATGATGACAAAAGTGACCTTGGTTCTTCGCTTCTCTCTATGACCCCTTGCTTTGCCATGTGACCTTGTATCTCCTCCCACTAAGAGATTGAATTGTGTTTCTCTCAGATTCACATATTGATGTCTTAACCCAGCTACTTGTGATTCATTGGAAGATTATTCAGCAAATATTCAATCACTTTCCTTTCCCTCTGGGAGCAGTTTATTTTCTTGCCCCAGTCACTTTAGGCTTGGCCATCTGACTTGTTTTGCTCAATGGAATGTGAACAGACATGATGTGATATGAGCAGATGTTTTAAATATGCTCACACAGTTGGGTTTCACTTCTCATGTACTTGCCATTTGTCATGAGAAGAACATGCCCCCAATAGCTGATGTTTTCAGGAGAATGTGGAGGAAAGGGGAATAGTTCCAAACCTGTAACCAAATCTAGGACCTACAGACAGGCACATAAGCAAAGAGAACAAATGCTTGCTCCTGTAACCTGTGAATTTAGGGGTGGCTGGTTTTGCAACATTATGGCAATAGCTGACTGATACACCTCTCTTTGGGGAAGTCGCTCAGTCCAAGAGGGATATTTCTAGGCACTGGTGTTAGAACGAGCAATAGGCCCATAGATGGGGAAGCAACCCAGGGTCCAAGGTGGCTCATTCTCACAAAGGGGCCTGGTAGGAATGGACCAAGGGGATTCAGTTCCCTTGGAGGATGCATTATATGGCTTGACTGGGTAAAATTGCTGGAGGAGACAGAAGCCAGTGGACCTTCTTTTAGTTCTATTCTAACAGACTGAGGAAAGATCTTCTACCACCAACTGCCCTCAACTAGTTCTCAGCTAATGAGGAAGAACTATGTTCTAAAAATTTCAGAGATGCTGGCTACTCTTCTTCCATCAAATGGAACATCTGAGAAACTATCCCGTCCTATTCTGCTCTCAGGTCTCTTCTGATCCCAGATCCATAAGCCTGAACAATCCATTGAGCAGGAAATCTGTGCTGAAGGCGGAAAGTTCCTGCAGGGAGTCAGGAGGATGGGGGCATCATTACTATGTCCTCAGCTGCTCACAAAGCAGTCCTTGGACAGTGGAGCAGTGACTGGGGGTTAGATAGTTGGGCAGACCCTTCTTCGGGTTACAGGTGGGAAGCTGGGAGGTATGCAGTGAAGAGGGTAGAGCCTTTTCTTACCAATTCCTGGTCTGTGGTGCCTCAGTTGCAGAGGACCAAGCTATGGCAAGGACCTCTGAGCCTCTTTCTGAGCTGAACTTCCTCAGCTCTGGAGTCCCCACTGTTTCCAAATGGTTGGCTGATATCCTTACTTTTCAGACCTGTTTTGAATTTCTATTTCTATCCGCTTTTTAGGTCTTTCTTGGTTTTAAGGGGAGAGGCCTTATAGAGAGTTTGATAGGATGTCATTTTAAGTCAGAAGTGTCTGTCCCTGATTAAAAAGATCTATCTCCCACCACTGGTGTGTATGAGTTTCAGTAGTAAAGCTAGGAGAAAATTTGTATATGGACAACTACAGATTTTGTGTATGGAGATAGCGCTGGGGTTGGAAATGTGGATTTGAGATGTGGACATTCCTATGGATGGCAACACAGAAAGAGAGAGAACCTGAGAATAGAACTTTAGGAAATGCCTAAATATGGGGGGAAACAGAAGAAGAGCAGGAAAAAGAAAACCTTTCCTGAGTTGTTAGGGGCTTCTAACAAGGCAGGCAGGTCTAGCTGGAACTCTGGGAATGCTGAGTGTGGGGCTGGCATGTGGAAATGCCATCTGCAAAATCTCTAGGCTCTACCTCTTCTTATCACTCATCTCCATCCCTGTGGCCAGTGGCCCAAATACCACCATCTCTTGCCAGGACTGTTGCAGTTCTCTCTCTCTAACTGGCCTCCTGCTTCTGCTCTAATCCCTCTTTCTCTATCAGTCCAGCACAACAGCCAGAGTGACCCTGTTCACCTCAAGACCAATCCTATCTCTACTTTTGTCAAGCCTGCCTAAGCAACCCCCCCCCCCCAACCCGGCTCACCTTGACCCACCTGGAAAGCCAGAGTCCTACTGTGATTTACAGTGCCCTGTATGCTTGGGCCCTTGTCACCTACTGCCTCTGGCACCCTGAGTGCCTACTCCCCTCCTCTGCTAATCCTTGAACATACCAAGTCTCCTCCTAAATTGAGACTTTTGCACCTGCTGCTTCCTCTGCCTGGAATGCTCTTTCCCAGGATCTGCATAGCTCACTCCTTTACTATCTCAGGCCTTTCTCATACATCACCTTCTACCTGAGGACCTTCCTGGGTACTTGATCTAAAAGTGCAATCTGCCCCATCCCCAACACTTCTGTTCCCTTTCCCTGTTATATTTCTTTTGCTTGTCACCATTTACTGTATATTTTGTTTATTGTTGTTTATTACCCATCCTTCCTTTCTCTTCTGAAATGAGGATGCTGTGGATGCAGAGATTTTTTTCTTTTGTACACTGATGCCTTTTCATTTACCGGGTACATAAATAGATACTCAGTAACTATTATCAAATACATGCAGTGACCATTGTCTGGCCATTTGTTATTGGCTGGTAAGTGCTAGCTGGTTGAAAGGCATCAGAAGTCCTCACCTGTGCAGTTCACACCTGGGGTTGGGGGAACACCAGCTGCCTAATTAAGAGGTCCAGGCATTTGATGCTTGTAGGTTTGCCCTAGGATGACCATAAGATGTTCCCCAAGAGGTGAGACATAAAAGCTCTCAAGAATGGTTTCTGAAGGTTCCAGTCTGAAATGGGTCCATGATGAATGAGACTGGAGACAGGTAAAGGGAACTTACAGGCACAGAGAAAGACTGAAGGCTGGGGTTGAAGCATGAGTCATTTGTATGGGCAGATGTACCGTGGAAACAGAGGCAGGATGCACAAGGAGGTGAATATGTGAACTGGGGATGGAGCCCTATGGCTGATGCACTAAATCAACAACTCTTCCTATCAACTTCCCTGCTCAGCCTCTGAACTCACTAAGGGACTTTCAGACCACAGTTTGGATTTCCATCAAGTTTGTTTGTCACCATGAGAACATTGGTATGTATATATATAGTTAGGCTGTACTTCCCATTAAAAATTAGCACATTGATGTTGGGCTTATGAACTTCACATCCTAGTGACTTAGACTGTCAGTTTTTATGAGACTGGTAACTCTGGAATCCTGATCAGATCCATTTTCTAGACCTATAATATCAAGGACCAACACCTTGGCTGGGGGTGAGTTCACTGAGCAAATAATAGCCCCTTGAGCCTCTCGAGACACAGCCAGTGCTGATATTTCCTGGTATCCCCCTTTCCTTTTCACAGGTCTCTTTCAAAATCTTATACATTTGGTCAGTCTGGGAAGATGTCCTCAGGGCTGAGGGCTTCCAGAAAAACCCCTTTGTGTCAGGTTCCTAGCTAGAATGGGGACTCTTCGTTCTGCTGTTGCAGATTAGATAACTGGATGCAGGCTTGAAATGTGTTGACTGGCATAGGTAGTAGGCACTGCGAGCTGTCCCTTCCACGTCCATCCTTTTTGCTTCTTCCTGTTGCCAGAATCCTGCTTTTGTTCAGGATTGCTGTGTGCCCAGTGACAGGCAGTGATCCTCATTGCCCTAAAGCAGTGGTTGGCAAATTTTTCCTGTAAAGGGCAAGACAGTATGATTTTGGTTTTGGGAGCCAAGAGGAAACCTCCATATAATTTTCTTATTGTGACATATTCTTTTGACTTCCTGCCCCCCCACCCTGCCCCAACCATTTAAAAATGTAAAACTCATTCTTAGTTTGTGGGCTGTGCAAAATTAGGTGGTGGGCTGAATGCAGACCTCCATCCTCAAGCACCCAGCCTTTGGTGTTAGCAGTCACCCTTGTGGGAAATAGGACCCAGTTCTGGCGTATAAGATCAGAGTGGAGGTGTGCTGGGGGAGGGGTTCTGGGAAAGCTTTTATTATCTTGATAAAAGCAGATCTTTCTTTTTTCCCCTCTGTTTTGAATAAGAAAGTGGATTATGGAAACATTGATCATGATTAAGCAACAAAGAAGATACAAGTCATCACACCAGAGATTAGAAAGCAAAGACTTGCAACTGATAATGTTAGCAACTGCCCACCTTGTAACTTGACAAGTGAGAATAACGCCCAGAGTTTAAGCAGCTATCCATCAGCTTCCTTATTACTTGCAGTTGCATTCTTAATCTTTGTGACATGCTGGAGATGTCCATAGCTGTATGTCCCTGCCCAATCTGGGAGCATCACTTCCCTCGTGGATGCTGGCACCTGGACAGCTGTGTTTTGTGCTGTGTGATATGACCCACTTCCATCTGCCTGCCCAGCTGATCAGGCTTGACCCCCAAATTAGCCAGTTTACAGGCTGACCAGAGACCCATGTGGCTTGACTCAAGATATAAGTGGGACCAATCTGGGTCACTCTCAGGAGTGGGAATGGGGACTCCTTTCTTTGGTTTTTCAGCAGGACAGAAGGAGGTAGACACAAACGGTGTGGTGGCATCAAGTGAATGGTGAGGCCTTGGAGGGGTGTCCACAGGTGTCACAGGGGAGGTTTCTGGCACGGCCTCCATTGGATCCCTCCCTCCAGCTCCAGTTCCAAGAGCTCAGGCTGTTGTGGTCCCAGTTCCGGGATTTCTTCTTGGTTCTAAATGTATCCTCCAATTCCTCCTTATTTCTTCCCCAGACGAGAGCAATTGGAGAATATAGGCTGGAGTCCTGTTCAGCATTCCTTTTGTTTCCCTGCTCCTGCCAAGAGCGGGTGGGGGAAGGGAAGAAATCCAGCTCCAAATGGGGGAGAGGCCAGTGCAGGCCCCGTTCCCAAAGACCCCACCTCTAGCACCACCTGGGCCCACTGGGCTCCCCAGAGAGCCATTCTGAGCAGAGGCTGCGGGACTGGTTTAGCCTTTATGAGCATCTGGTTTTGTGCTTCACTGGAGCCTCAAGAAAAAAAAAAAAGAAAAAGGAAATTCTTTCCAAGTGGACGGTGAACATGTAACTCCCTGGGGGTGTAACAGGATGGAAATAGAAATAGGGTCAGGAGGGCACTGAGGAGTCGGGGCTCTGACAGGTCACTGAAGGGAGGGCGACCAAGGTCCCAAACCTTTTGCCAGGACTTGTCAGCACCTGGAACAGGAGGGCCTAAGGGCTTGGGGTGGGGCTCCAGGTGGAGGGTTGGGTGGGCTGGAAGGCACACAGAGCAGGTGTTCCTGTAGAAGTCCCTGGCACAGCTGATTCTCTGGCTGGGGGAGGATACAGGCTTCAGCCTCGTGAGGACTGCAGTAAGGGTTAGAGTCTTGCAAAGACAGTGATGTTGAACATTAGGTGGGCAGTGGGGCAGTGTCCCAGGGAAGCGTCAGTGGGCCAACTCCATCAATCCAGGATTTAATGAACACTCACACCCAGCCCTGAGCAGCTCTGGAGACAGGGAGCCCTCTTCCTATACACAGGTATGATTCTATCAGTGGGCTAAGCCAGAATGACCTTGGTATGAGCTACCAATGAGGCTGAGGGACACTCGGGGCTCAGTTTTGAGCAGGGAATCTGGGAAGATCTTGGGAAGATGATGGAGTGGAGAAGGTGGGCAGGCTGAGGGCTTCCAGGAGCTTCCAGCCTCAGCACCACTGGCCTTGTCATGCCTATATGGAGTCAAGGAGACGGTTTTGCAGGAGGCAAGTGGACTTGTATTTGGGGTGTTTGGAAACCACCCAAAGAGAGGTGAATACACATCTGGAGTTACAGACAAACCCTTGGGAGCCATTTATGTACAAGTGGTCATTGAGATGATTTGGGGGTGGATGAGATGGTGTGCAGAGTTGAGAAAAGGGAGAGGAGAACCTTGGGGGACATATAAGGACAGAAAGAGGCACCAGCGCAGGAGACAGAGAGAGAGTGTGTGGTTGGGGACCAGAAGAGATCCCAGGGGCGTGGCTCGGGCAGGGAGAAGAACATTTCAGCCACCAGAGTAGACTGTGGCAGAGACAGAGGGCAGGAGATTGAGGAAATGAGACGTCCCAGGTGACTTGCAAAAGCAGCTCTGGGGGATACTGGGGCAGAGGTCCCTGAAAGAGTGTGGGAAGCAAGGCAAGATGGGTGGCAAGAGCCCAGCTTGAGAGGGAGGGTGGGCAGACTGGTGTGGGAAGCAGGAATGGGGCTAAGGATGGTGAGGGACAAAGGGCTTAGGCAAATGCCAGTGTTCTTGGAGGCCTGTTCTGTCCCTGTCCCATCTCACAGGGCCATCCCTTTCCCACTCACAAACCCCCTCAAGGCCTCACCCGATTCCTAGCTGATTGTGTAAAGGAATGCTTATTCCCATGTTGATCAGTACTGACAGAGAGTCTTCCCACTCTCCTGGTCACCTTGGTACTTCACAAGGCTTCCTGGAGATCATGGCCTCATTTTCTGTATGTACCTCAGTCGGTATCTCTAATCAGATGTGTGGACCGGGGCGCCTGAGGACCCAGGAAACGGTACAGTGAATACACTTCTTCCAGATGTCCCCAAATCACTTGCAAGAGGCTCCCTCATCCAGAATGGCTCTTGTTCTTCCCTCCATTCCTCTAGGCCACTCTGCGGCATTTGGACATGTCCTGACCCCAAGGTCAGCAACTCAGTGCTTTATCCATGATTAGAACTGGGTCCCTGGTGGGGAAGGGGGGGGTCCCTGTGGCACAGCCTCTTGGGGAGCTCTGTAGCTCCCCCTGATGTCCTGAAGGCTTAGTATGGAGGTACAGGAGGAGACAGCTGTGTGCAGAGGGCCCCTGTGGCCAGGAGATGAGGGCTGAGGCTTGAACATGAGACATGTTTTGCAGATTAATCATTGGGCCTAGAGAAAGTACTGGGCTAGCTGCCAGCTCCACCTGCCTGCACACCTACTGGGTTATCCAGGGCAGGGAGGGTCCCCTAAAGTCCCCTATGAATGTTCCCTCCCCAACCTGCTCCCTTATCCCCACTGTTGACCTCCCGTGGGCTCCACTGCCCTGGCATGTGGGAGCCCAGGTTCGCCTGCTCAGAGACCTTCCCCTGCTGTTGGAACCTCTGCCCAGAAGCCCAATGTTCAGTTCGCTGATGAGGGGTCAGCCCCTTTGCTGACTCCTGATTTGAGGGATGGCCCCCACCTCTGTGAGAATATAGCAAGGGCTGTCCTCCAGTGTCCCCAGCTTTAGGTGGCCAATGTCCTGTAAAGTGGGCCCTCTTTGGGGTGTACAGCATGTACCCAGAACCCGCCTTTAACTACCCTTCCTGTGCCTTGTGGGGATGCCAGGCCTAGAACCTGATGTAGATCCACAGTATGAAATGTCTGCTCCTGAGTCCTGGTATTGGCTATCTTTTTACCTTATAAAATTGGAGTGAGAGGTCTAAAATCGTGGTTACCTTTCAAATAGACTACTTCCTCAGCACAGGATGGAAACTTTTGATTCAGACTACTGGTCCATGTTGGCCCCAGCAACTGGCTCTTCTAGTTTTAGAACATTCCCACTCCAGACACCCTGGGGTATTGCCTAACCAGCTTTCCACTGGACCACAGTTATCACCCCCACTCTGGCTGTATGTGTGTGGTTGATATTATCCAGCTGAAGACTGAATTACCTCAATCTCTTGAGTACGTGACAAGTGCTGGACATTTCACTCAAAGCTAACAGCACTATTCCTAAGTAGGTGTTCTCTCATACCATGTATGCTTGTCTACTTGGGCTTCTATATTTTTTTCATGTAATGTGTTATCCATTTAACTGATGGCCATCTTCCTCACTGAGACCAAGAGCATCACAGATACATCTGGGGAGACTGACAAAATGAACATTTATGCTTATGATTACTGTTTGGTTCCCAAGACTCATCATATGAATTTTAAAAGCCAACAAAACCCCTAAGTCCTTTAAGGATCATGCTAAAAGTCCCAGAGGAGAACAGCCATCCGGTAAACAGATAGTTGGGTTGAAACTAGAAAGGTGAATGCAGACCTGACTATCCTCTTGTTGGGCTTTAGAACTTGAAGGAGTTTAGAAAAAAAAAAAAAAGTAGTTCTTTATGGGTTACAAGCTAAAGAGGGACAGTTTGCACAGTTTGGACAAAATAGAAGTACTCTTACCAATAAATATGTCTCAAAATGACAAAGCTCTCCCCATTTGATGGCTCCAGATCCTCGCAAGAAGTGATGGGCACAGGCACTATGTACAGAGTGTAAACAGTAAGGCCCTTGGGACATAATGAGGGGCAGGGCCAGGTGGTGGGGTATGCATGGAGGAGCCTCTGTAGTGGAGAGTGGGTCCATGGGTAAATACAACAGGCTTGTGGGATGGTCATCCAATCTGCCACCAAAGCTTGTTGGTGGCTGGGCTGGTCCACTGGGTTCCTCCAGTCGGCAGTAAGGAGAGGTTGTGTCCATTGAGAAGTCCCCCTGGTCCCACTGACTTTTTCCCTAGGGGAGGCATTGGGGACAGCCAGGCAGGCCTGCCCCTCCTCTTGAGGCTGTCTGTCCAGGGTTCAGGGCATGGATGGGGCAGTGTTTCTCAAACAGGGATTGGGGGCAACCGGCCCCCCGGAACCCACAGCCCCTTCCTCCGAAAGGAAGAGCTCCAGGCACCTGTGTCGGGGAGGGAGGCCATCACTTTTTACCTCTCCAGGGCCCTACCCCGTGGCCTCAGTTTCTCAGGGAGGCCCGGGAGCAGCCCGGATCAGCAGCGTCCAGCCAGCCTCGCTGGGCCCCGCGCCGCGCCCTGCCGCCCCGCCCCCGCCCCCGCCCCCGCCCGTCGCCCGCAGCCCCTCCCCCCGCAGGACACTCCCCGGCTCCGCTCGCGGTCCTTAGATGTCGGTCTCCCGGAGGTTGCTGTAGTCGGCCAGTTCGTAGGCCTGGCCGGCGGCGCCCCCCGCCACGTCGTGGGGCACCCCGAGGGACACCGCCTCCACCTCCGCGCGCTGCGCGCTCCCGGCGCGGATCTTGTGCGACAGGCTGGAGACCTTGGCACGCAGCTGGGTGGTGGGTCTCCGGAACGGCCCGAGCAGCCTCCACTCGCGGAAGGCGCAGGGCGGCTTTCGACGGCCGGCGACGGGGGCCTGCGCCTCGCGCGCGCCGGGGGAGCCGGGGCAGCCGGGCAGCCGGGGGAGCCGGGGGCCGAGGGCGCGGTGAGGGCCAGCGGGGCCCCGGGGGGCGCGGCGCCGCGGCCCGCAGCGAGGTCGGGGCGCGGGCCGCCGCTGGAGCCCCGCCAGTGGTGGCCGTAGACGCGCCACAGGGGCCGGCGGCGCCGACGACGCCGACACTGGCAGCGCAGCAGGCGAAGGAAGGCGCGCTTGAACTCGCGGCTGGAGCAGGGGTAGATGAGCGGGTTCACGCAGCTGTTGAAGTAGCCGAGCCAGAAGATGACCTTGAAGACGCCCTCCGAGGGCTTCAGCTGCGGGAACAGGGAGCCTGGGGGGGGGGGGGGAGAGACCCACGCCTGTTAGATGCTCCAGGAGAGGGAGGCCCGGCAGCCCCCTGGGCGCAAAGTCCTCAACTAGGGGCTGGGCTGCCAGCTCGGGGCTCCCAACGTATCTCTCCCCAAGGGGGTCCCTGATATAATTCGAGGGGTCCGTGAACTTGGATGAAGAAAAAAATCATCTTCCGTTTTACTGATGTCTCCTTGATAACTGAGCAGTTTCCCTGAATGACGAGTGTAGGCAACAAACTCAAGTAGGAGGGAGAGGAAGCCCTATGCCGTCCGGGTTCTCCTAGCTCAAAACTGGTGCAAGATGGGCAGTTTCCTAGGGTGCGACCTGACTCTCAGCAGTTCCTGCCAGATATTTTCCTATCACATTCAGTTGCTGCAGATGCTCTGAAATACTGTCTGCTCCTATCTGGAAATGACAGTCACCAGAACCTACCACTAGATTCTCTTACTTAATGCCTTAACCTAGAAGCACATTCCTTTCTAAGCCAGAGATTTCATTCACAAATGTTTTGGTGTTTTCAACGAAATCCGTTTTATTTGCAATCCTTTGTATTTTAGTTTAAGCATTTGAAAGCATAACCTTGAGAAGGGCTCCATAAGCTTTGCCAGATGCCCAAGAAGTCTGTAGCACAAAAAGGGTAAGAACCTTTGAATGAAATGTTGACCAAGGCTTGCCTCACATCAGGCACTGTGCTGGGCTCACATCAAACAAAGTCCCATTCCCTGAGTAGCTAGGTGCATAAAATACCAAGGGAATGAAGATGGTGTGATGGTGGTGCTCAGGATGTGGGATGGGGTGGGAGGCTTCCAGGGTTCTCAGAGGATGGACAGGAGCCTGGCAGGATGAGGAGGGATGGAGGGTGTTAGAAGTGGAGGGGTCAGGTGGGCAAGAGGAGTACAAGTTTGGGGCCTGGGAATGTCTTCTGGGATACGCTGAGAAAATGTCATTTGGGACAGATGGTGAAGGGAATTTACACAATTATTTGTGGGTAGTTGGGAGCCATGGATAGTTTCAAGCAGGCAAGAAACGGAGCCTAAATTAAGTCTCAGTAAACAATGCCAGTGGTGGCTGGAACGAAGGTCACTGGGGCTGTCCCAGTGGAATTGGTCAGGGAAGGCTTCTAGGATGGCTTTGCGGGAGCAGAGTGCCAGGCAGGAGAGGGTGGGTGCACTAAGACCTGAGCTGTGTCAGAAAGACCCTCCTCCTCACAAACTTCTCTCCTGGCATCTCCACCACCATGTAAGGGGTCCTGTCCTCAAAAGGTACTTGACAAAATGCAAAGGCATGACCCTAAAAGCAAAAGCCACTCTCATTCTCACATCCTCAGCAGCAGCGGATGGAGGGGGTAGGTGGCAAGAGCGTCCCATCCCAGGCAAAAGTTGCAGGTGCCCTTGAGACTGAGCGGGCCAGGGACAGGGGTCCTTGACAAATCATGGGACCTGCTCTCTTCTTCCGCCCCTAAAGAAAGAAGAGCAGGGTCTGCTATTGAGCGGGCAGAGGCACCATGCTCCCCTTTTTGACCTGGGAGCTCTTGCCCGTCACCCACCTCCTACAAGATAGAGAATTTCTGCTGCTGAGACAGACACATGGTGGTGGTGGCAGAGGAGGAGAGTCACGAGTGTCATGAGGCACAGGCCTTTGAAACTGCGGTCACACAGCTCCACTGTGAAATGCATGCATTTCAGAGTGCAGGACGTCGCAGGCTCTTAAACACTGGTGTCTCTTTACTTCCCCTCTTCCTACGTGGTGGCTTTTGAAAGAGGGCAGCTCCACCCCAGTGGGGAAGAGACCCAGTTTCCAGCTCTGGAGAGTAACCAGAAACAGAAGCCAAGACCTGGTGGCTTTGGGGGAGGCTGGGGCATCAGTCAGCATATGCTGAGCAGACAACTTCCCCTAGGAGGGGAGTTAGACAGTTGTCCTTGGAATGTGGGGGCCACTAGGGTTGACTTCACCCTCCAGGAAGGCGGCCCTCTGAATAGCATCCCTCAATGGCTGCAAAGTAAGACACGGTGCTGAAAATAACTCTGACTCAGGCCACAGTTCTTTTATATTTAGCCTAGGATGACAAATCAGTGGACTATGCTTTCAGCTGCAAGCCTGAAGCTGGCCAAACAGCATCGTTATCAGTGTTGTTTTTACTCACATTGGTGGGCGACATGGCATACTGTAGTATGCCCTGGACCGTGTTATAAACACTATTCTAACTTATGCTCAAGCAACCTGTGCAGCTGCTTGCTACAGGCTGGGAATGCCCTACACACAAAAAAAGCTTCTGCCCCAAGATTTTCCTACTGTGTCCCACTGAGGTTCTGTTTTACTTTGGGCTCTCCCAGATGCAGACCCCGAGACAAGGATCCAAGTGCAAGTCACTAATTGTGGGCAACTGGGGCATAATCCTATGATACCATGAAGTTCAGGAATCTCAGAGCTATCCCACCAGGGGAATGAGGGAGGTGGAGTATCTATACCCCCACTCCCATCAGTCACCGGTTGGGCTACTCCCAGAGGTATTAATTTCCCACACTTCTCCCCGGCCTGCTGTGTGGGTGGATGATGAGGATTCTGGTGGGTGGAGAGAGCGAGCCCCTGGGCAAAGGTGCAGGCAGGTGTTGGGATGGAAGTTGGCTGATGTGCCCTGAAGGTCCGGGGAGGGTGGTGGCTTGGAGGGGACACTGACAGCATGTGGCACAACTGTTTCATGTGTTCTCTGCCCACTGTGTATAGACATCTTGCCCGGAAAATACAGGCGCCTGTGCCTGGGCTCCAGCTTCTACAGGCAATAGCACCTCTGTCTCACAGTTCTGAGCCCCACACCCACCTCTGCCCAGAAAGCTGCAGTCTGCCCCCCACACCACCCTGTACAGCCTCACTCTCCCTGCTGTCCTCCCCCCTCCCCCCAATACTTTCTCATCAGGTCGAACTTCTGGCAAAGATCTCCAGGGTCAGAGGGGGCTGTGTGTACATCCCTGTCCGTTGCATGCATGGATAATATGGGGAACTGCCCCGAGGCCCCTGAGGATGGGCTCCTGGCTCATGGGCATTGTCCCTGCAATGCATCAGTGGACAAGCCCCTTTTTGGCCACCCCAGCTTCCTGCTCCCCCAGCCACTCTGACCTGTGGCTACTCGGGCCAACCTCGCCTGTATGCCTTCTCATCCCTCTCCAGCGGCCTGGCACACACTTTGTCAGCTCCTGAGCACAGCTACAGGAGAGCCTCAATTAGCAGGTGGGGGCTCTGAGGCAAGGCCACTTGTCTCTTTTCTGTCCTGACGGGGCTCTCCGAAGCCTTCCTTGCAGGCAGAAAGCCCAGCTGTGCTAACTCAACTTGGCAGCTGTCATTGGAAACAGAGAACCTTGTGGGACACCCTCCCTCAGCCTCCCACCTTTCTGTACTGGTGCCCAGCATCACACCCTTGCTCTTCTTTCTCTTATAGCTCCTGCTCCCCTCAGCAGTCTTACTTTGGTTTTGTGCATCAGCTAAATGGCTGCACTGACCTCCTGCTGCCCTCTGGCCCCAGCAGGCTCCCCAGTCTTGCCTGGGGGCTTTTGCTCCTGCTCCTCTGGGATTGCCCTTCCTCTTTCCTCTGCCAGCTCTACTGGCACCTCCACCTGGAAGTTCTCTTCATACCAACCCTTCCCAACCTGGCAGTTAGAGGTACTCTCCCTATAGCACATCTTCTCACTTCTAAGTGCCAAGAACACAATAGGTGACTATCAGTTTCCTGTCTAATCTTTTTAAAAAATATTTATTGACTTAATCTGTATACCCAATGTGGGGCTCAAACTCATGATCCTGAGATCAAGAATCAAATGCTCCTCCCGGCTGAGCCAGCCAGGCACCCCAGGTCTATCTTATCTTTAAATGGTGAGCTCTCTACATGTGCTTGGCACATCATAGGTGCTCCATACATCTCAATCCCTCTCTCTGTCACAGCCTGCATCCCATCCATCAACTCCTATTGGTCCTGGAACACACCCCCAATTTGTGCCACCCCCTGGTCCCAGCTACTATCATCATCTACCTGAAGTGCTGTTCTAAGGGGGTTCCTTGCTCCTGGCCTTGTACCCCTGCACCGTGTTCACACAGCAGCTGGGGGGATCCTTTTATTTATCAATTATTTTTTTAAAAAGATTTACTCATTTATCTTAGAGAGGGAGCACGAGCAAGTGGAGAGAGGGGCAGAGGGAGAGAATCCCTAAGCAGACTTCCTGCTGAGCCTGGAGCTGATGTAGGGCGATCCCACAACCACAAGACCATGACCCAAGCTGAAACCAAGAATCAGACGCCCAACAAACTGAGCCACCTAGGCGCCCCTGGAGGGATCCTTTTAAAAAGATAAGCCTGAATATTTCACTTCTTCCGGGTGGCTCAGTGGTTTAGCACCGCCTTCAGCCCAGGGTGTGATTCTGGAGATCCGGGATCGAGTCCCACGTCGGGCTCCCTGCATGGAGCCTGCTTCTCCCTCTGCCTGTGTCTCTGCCTCTCTCTCTCTCTCTCTCTCTCTCTGTGTGTGTGTGTCTCTCATGAATAAATAAATAAAATATTAAAAAAATAAAATAAAACCCATTTTCCACTGCAGCTTCTTATCCTCTTTCTTAACCGTTCTTTGACCTTCTGGCAGCCCCTTAGAAGTCTCCTATTGCCCCTGCTCAGCTGAGACTCCTAGTCACTCACACCTCTGAAGTTGCCTTCTCAGTCCTCGCATGTTCGCATCCTTCTGGACTTGGGTTATGCTTATCCAGCCAGACTCTAACTCTGGAGTGATTTGCCCATTCCCTGAATGTGAGGGTCCCCCACCTCAGGTCCATCCAGGGCTCCCCGTGACCTTGCTGCTCTGCCCGGGTCCTGCACCAGCACGGTGAGCCTTTACTCTGCCCCCTTGCCTCCTTCAGGGCAGCTGATCTTACTTCCTGCTTCGAGGAGAAAACAGAAGCCAAAGAAGTTGGGCATATGCTCAAGCCTTCCTCACCTCTCCCCCTC